GAATCATCAAAAGGTTTCTATAAAATGTGTGAAAGGCCAAAAATTATACCATTTTCCCGAGGGAGAATGTTACTACACGTCTATTCAATCTAAATCCGGTCAAAGTGGAGAAAAGAGTAATAAAAAACCTACTACTAAAATACTGTCATCCACATTAAACGAGGTACCAGACGTGTATTTTGACAACAATAAACCATCAAAACCAACTGATATTAACAACCCTACATCAACCAATACAGCCAACTATAAACAGACAAAAGATACTGAAATATTTAAATCAAGTGATACTGACAAATATAAACAGACAAAAGCAACTAATACTAAAATATGTAAACCAATTGATACTGACAAATATAAACAGACAAAAGCTACTAGTATTTAAATATTTAAACAAACTAATACTGACAAATCTAATCCAGGTATACCACAAAATACTGACAACTATAATCCAACTTTACCACAAGATACTGATATCACTAAACCAAATTCGATACAGCGTGTCATCGCGGAGAACTCCAAAGAACCTGAAGACAGCCATACAAATTATGAATTATCGCATACATCTTGATAGCAATGTAAGTGGATTATTTGATAAAGGCGAAATAAATGATCTAGGTGAAATAAGTACATGTATGTCGGAAATTCAAGAAATTGAGATAGACTCCATATTTTCTAATTTAGTATCAGATAAAACGATAGAGGAAGATCAACCTAATGTAGAGATTTTAAACGATGAGTTTTTTCAGAATATTGTCGTAGATAATTATGTAAAATCAGATATGGATATCAGCAAATGTACAGAAACCGAAATGGATGAATTAGATATGGATGACTCAGTTCGAGATCCTGATTGGGTACAATATTCAAGTACAGACGATGATAATGATGACAGTGATACTTTGCTAGATAGACCCTCTGTAATAAACTTGCAAGTTCCTGGGGGGAAACGACCAAAACAGAAAGGCATCGAATGGGAAAGTACTAAAAATAAACGCTTGCGGATGGAAGGAAAGAAATACAAAGGTTTTAAAAAAGTTGATGGTCACTACAAATTCTGTAATGAGAGGAAGGATAGAACAGAGGGAATGTCACACCTTAACTGAAGAAGTGAGAGAAAATATATTTAAAGGATTCTGGGAGCACATGGCCTGGAAAGAAAAAAAGCTGTATGTATCTGGACTCGTTGACAGTGCTGGCGTTAAAGAGAGAACAACAAACGGCGACAGTAGAAGAAAAAATACATATAAATATTATTTAAAGGTAAATGACCAGCGCCTACTTGTATGTAAATCGACATTTTTATCCACTCTTTGCATTGGGGAAAAAATGGTTTATGAATGGTTGGATGATGTAAACAACAACGACATACCTGTTCAATCTCCAGAACAGAAACCACCAACTCACGGAAAAGACAAAGGCGATAGCGCCAGGGCGTTTCTTAACTGCATTCCAAAATTACCATCGCATTATTATCGGTCATCCAGCACTAAACTGTACTTAGAACCTATCTTTTCAACCAGAGCTGATTTGTATAAAGTTTACAAAGAATACTGTGAGACTAACAACAAATTGCTTGCGGTTCAAAATTATTCTTTAGGATTTTTGATCAGCTAAATTTATCTTTGTTTTCACCAAAAAAAGATCAATGTGATATCTGTACGGCTTATGAAGTTAAAAATGTTTCTGAAGAGGTTTATACAAAAAACAATCTGCTAGAGAGGAGAAACAACGTGATAAAGAGAGGGCATTGCAAGATAAATCGCTTATTGTTCTTACATTAGATTTGCAATCTTTGCTGATGTGTCCAAAACTGGAGGCTAGCGCGCTTTATTACAAAACCAAATTAGGATGCCACAATTATACCATTTTTAATGTCGCCAGTAAAGATGTGAAGTGCTACTTCTGGTATGAGAGTGAGGGTGATCTCAGTGCCAATTCCTTCGCATCATGTCTATCAGATTATCTTGAAAGCGTTATCGACGAGAGTATTAAAGAAGTCATAATCTACAGCGACGGCTGTTCATACCAAAATCGAAATGTTATAATAGCCCAAGATCTGTTATGCCTAGCAACTAAAAAAAATGTAACAATAGTTCAAAAAGAATGAATTACAGTGTGAGCCCTGATTGCAGGTATTCAAAGGCGAGGTGGAAAACTGAGACTACAACAACTTCCGAGGTGAAAGTCGAAAAGTCGCTAATAGCGTGGTGTGTTAATTTCCTAATTTCTACTTTTCGAGTTGCATTTTGACTTGTATACCGCCTTGTCGACTTTCTCATATTTTTGTATTTATTGATGTCAGTAAGAAGGCACTAACACGCATACCAAGCCAAAATGCAACTCGAAATTAGGAAATTAACCAATCTAATTAAAATATAGATCTATATTTCGTTTCGTTTTTTATACTTTCGATGGCTTACACTACATGTAGATCTAACAAGTTATAGTGGGAATTCACGTTCTATGACGTCAGGTACCAAGCATGCGACATTTGACCCGATTACGTCAGTCATTCGATTAACCAATTAGCGACCGCCATGTATTTTTTATCTACTTTTGCTTTGTTTTGATTTCTATTGCCGCTAATGTCTACCCACAGTTCCGCGCAAAAAAGGTCAAATGCTCGATTCAAAAGACCATTGATTGGCTGACCCCACATTTCAAGCAGAACACGAGTTAAATAACAATGCTTCCAGATCCATGTGTAGTAAAGACAAGTAAAATCAAAATTTTGAACTATAAAAATGAAACAAAATTGGATCTGTGTTTTAATCAGATTGGAAATTAACACACTGCGCTATTAGCGACCTATCATGAAATACAGTGTGAGCCCTGAAGGCACATATTCAAATGCGACCTGGAAAATTGAGACCACAACAACTTCCGAGGGGATAGTCGAAAAGTCGATAGTACTACAGCAAGCCAAAATGATAGGTCCGTAGCGCCGCTGCCCGAGCAAAATTCCCCTTATAGCACACTGTATGGCGTATTCCCGTCTTCATTAGCCCAGGTTAGGAGCAGAACAGTAGGACGTTAAACCCCATTTCATTTCATTTCTAGCCATTTTCCTTCAAGTAGTCATCTTGGTAGTCATTTTTTGTCACTAAATACTACAGGAATATTGCAAAACTTATTTCACAATAACGTAGTAATATTGATTAATAATAAGTTAAATATTCCATGGACCTTAAAATACATACAGTCCAGAGCCTCGCCTAGTCACCATGTTAAACGAGGCTCTGATACGGTCCATGAACATTCACAGTATTTGTCTTTAAATTGGGAAGCTGTAGGAAATTTAACATGCCCACCACCTAAAATAAAGGAACCCTGTACTGTTACATTCATACATGTAGCTGTTAAAAGTTGACTTCAACTAGACTCTTAAAAATGCTGTTTTTACCACCCATGTTAATATGCAACCAAGGGTAAGATCCCTAGTGTATGATATATACTCTTCAAAAAAGTAGGGAATATTGAAATTGAAATACATATGCAGGTTGTGATATGATAAATAGTCATGGACACTTGACATGCTTTGAGAGTATGTTCACAGATGAAGAACTTATGGACCCAACAGAACCACTGAGCTGCACATGTGACACGCAATAGTGCCACACACGTGGGAGGGGTTCATTGTCAAATTTGACACTTCAAGGAAGGGTTGATGAAAACTGCTGCTTGCTGGTTTATCCTATCCATGTTTGCTTTCCTATCGGTTCTTGCATAAGATTTACTATTTAGCGTATCTTTGCTTTAGTGTGTTACGTTCAATTTGATCGGGAGATGTGTTCGTCGACGTCACTGACAACACTGCAAGAATTGGCCGTGGCACTGCAAGAGGAGTGGGTCAGATTGCCCCAAATCGTGATTGGACAGTTGATTAGGAGCATGACGAATGTCTGAGGATTGGTGGAGCAATTACTCATTATTAAGACAAAAATCAAAAACGTCCATTTTCACTTTTGACTGTGTATCTCTTTGCGAGTGAAATAGGGCCGTCAGATAAGCAGCCCATATGAACTGTTTATGTTCATGTGTAGGCAATTGGCCTGTTATTAACACACACTGGTTACCTGATAAAAACAGGAGTGCATTTCTGCAGTTTTGTATTGTTTCTGAATATCCCCTACTCTTTTTGAAGAGTATATTACAGAATTTATGAGATATTCAGCGTCAAAATGTGTCTTAATTCTGACCTAACAGGCCACAGTATTCATGGATTCTTTTCAATTTTATTTTATAGGTCAAAACCAATACAAGGATTCCTATTGATTTTGACATTGAGATACAGCACTGAAAATAACTGTGTTTCATTTCTTCTGGATTCTTTTCAATTTTATTTTGTAGAACCCTTATCGATTTTGATGGTGATCGAATACTTTTTCGTTCCACTAATCCAGGATGCACATTAACGAAGCCTTCGATCTCAATACAAAAGACGCTTTTTTGGCATTTAGCCATTTTGGCAAAACGAACCCACCATTCGTCCAGCATTTGAGAAATTGAATCTTAGCAAAATAGACCCACATCTACCAAAATCGATCTCAATACAAAAGACGCTTTTTTGGCATTTAGCCATTTTGGCAAAACGAACCCACCATTCGTCCAGCATTTGAGAAATTGAATCTTAGCAAAATAGACCCACATCTACCAAAATCTATCTATATTTCAGCTTTGAAATAACCAGGAATGAATAAATGGAATGCGGTTTAATGTCCTACTTTTCTGTACCGACCCAGATAATGAAGACGTACATATATCATGGAGTACATATATTTTTTCGTCACATCTGAACGACTAGACACTATTCCTTGCCAGGGTTTTCGACCTGTACCACTGACAAGGGGAAACCAGGTATAAAAATTCTCGGCAAACACTGCAGGATCAAATGCTGGCCATTCTGGATAGTGAGCCAGCACCTCAATGAGACACCGCAGGTATCAATATCAATGGTGTGCTCCAATTCATTAAGTCTATGCATGAACCAACTAATTACATAATACTAATAAAAAATTTATTAACCATCATCTTAAATGATGATACATATTTATTCATGTTTAGTAGCATATTATATCTTATGTACATATTTATTACATAAATAACCGTTTCATTAAGGCTTGTCCTTGCAGCACCAGATTAGTCTAGAATCAAGTAAATGTAATTTAATCCTATATTTAATTGTTCAAAATGTTAATCTTACTAGTACATGTTGTACAGCTTCTATGTGTCTTTTGGCAATAAAAATTCTATTATTTTATGTTTTTAAAGATACCCATCTTTTTTTTATCGTCTACATTTAAAGTAACTTTATGCGAGATTTAAGAAAGGGCTGGCTATAGTAGTTCAAAATAGATAAAATTTCAGTCCAATTACTTTCATCAAAGTTATGAATGTTTGAAGTTTTGCCAAGAAATAGACATAATTGGTAGATGGAAACTCTACGTGCAGTTCATATACTCGATTGTCAATCACCATTGCCTTGATATTATACAAAGCCTCGATTGTCAATCATTTGTTCAACAGTCTCCAGCCATATGAGTGTTTACTGTTTAACATAGATATGCGGGAATGGTCTAATCTACTCAATATTTAAGTCATCCGATGATTTAGTGAGTTGATTATGGGAATGGGAATTATAAATGTCTAAATAATGATTTATATAACACTTGGAAGCCAGAAAAACAAAATCGACAATAGACAGGTTAAGTTCTTGCATAATGCATCTTTAAAGTGGCCGTAGAAAAATATATAAAGCAGCTAGTACCAAGGTGTTAAAAAATAAGTTAAATAAGTTTGGTTTTCCAAAGGTTCATTTAAAGACACCCAAATAAAAACATTGATAAAATTCTAATTTCTTCTACATACAAGTATTTACGTTAACAGTAATATATATATTATGAATAAATGATATTATACCAGTAATATAAATGAGCATTACAATAATTTGTATATTGTGGTATTTACAACAATTATAATACAATACAGTAGTTATTTAATATAATGTTTTTTTTATCTATAGGCCTTATACTGGCTAAACAAAACTTGAAATAGCAGGTTTGGGCAAGGAAACCTCCCAAACATTGGGAGGTGTCCTTGCCCACACACCTGCTATTTCAAGTTTGTTTAGCCAGTATAAAACTTCAAATAGCAGGTGTGGGCAAGGAAACCTCCCAAACATTGGGAGATTTCCTTGCCCACACTCCTGCTATTTCAAGTTTTGTTTAGCCAGTATAAGGCATATATATATATACATTACATTATATTATATCAATATGGCCCGAAGAGGTTCAAGAGAACTGAAAACGTTAGCCATAAACATATGTTTATATATATATATATTTATATAAAGAAATCAAGAGAATTCGTGTAGCCTTTTATTGTATTTCTTGATAATATTTTCCTGGTTATCTCGAGGGACATTTTAATTATAGTTATTCGGGATGAGACCCTTAGTTGGTTAGCCTTTATGGCCAAACCCTGTTACGATCAAAACTGTACCTGTACATCTTAGATCACATCATAAGGCCAGTTGTCAATTTTTTCTTTTTTTTTTTAAAAAAACCCAAAAACAACATACGCCCACAACTCCACACTTACCAATCAGATTGAAGAAAGGGTAATTAAATATGTGCAAAGGCCATCGTTACAGGGTCTTGGGTTGGAGATTTATTCTGAAGACATAATCATAGTTTGTTTAATTGATATTTTTTCACAAGAATTAGATATGGTATATCCTAGGATCGCCCAATTGGGTTGCTGTAGGCTAATTGAATATACACAGGTGGGAATTGAAGTTCAAATGTAGTGAAAGGTTGTTATAATGAAGTAAGTACTCAGTTACAGTATTTACAGTTTGAACGACCAATCAGATTGCAGTATGGTAAAGAAATATGTAGATGTCTTTGATGTTATAATGGACTTCAGTTTATTTGCATGAGAAGTTAGCTTACTGCATTTCATGGAATAGACAAAAAAAAAAAAAGAAAAAAAAAGACAATGTCACAGATTATAATCATTCATAACACCATATTGTATTGTATTCGAATTTTGGCGAGTTTCTGGATAATATATTTAAGATTTTTTTAGTTATAAGTATCAATCCAAATCCATTCACTGGAAACAAAATTATTGAGTTATAGTAACAATCAGTTTGCAGTAGGCCAAACAAACAAGAACTAAGTTATTGGGCCTTTCATACCTTGTTAATAAAATAAAGATAAGCAGGCAACATAATGTCTTAAAGATAGGTTGCCAGACAAGAAAACATACGCCCACAGCAGCTAAGTCGTCCGTGCAGTCAACAAGGAGTGGCATATATTTTTTCCTTTGTCGGTAATGAAAACATTTACAACACACTAAAATTTGATTAAGTGTAACAACCCATGAAGTAACTATCAGAAATCATTAGAATTTGTTTGGCTTATAGTTCTGCCACATGCTAACGTTTAGTATACAAAACATTGAATATCATTTATTTAGCTTTTCAAATTACCGGAAATCGTTGAAAATCAATAGATTTTGTCATGAGAGAGAGAGAGAGAGAGAGAGAGAGAGAAATGGGGTTTAACGTCCACTCGACACAAACTAGGTCATTTCGGGACTAACATGTTTTTTTAAATTTTATTTCAATAATTCGCTTGCGCATAGGGGTCTTTAGCAGTGGGAGGAAACCGGAGGACCCGGAGAAAAACCCCACGAGGTTGGACAGGCGACCCTACTCCTTGTCACATACAACCGGGGATTCGAAACCACGCCAGACGACTCAATGAAAAGATTTTGTCGTCTCATGACCTTAAACACTGTGTATAAATTTAAATTCAAGCGGATGATAATTCTGGTCATGAGAGCATCAATTTAAGGGCCATAACTCTAACAACAATTCAATCTGATTAAAATACTGGGTCCTTATTCAAAAGATATCTTAAGTCTAAGATAGTCACTTAACTACTAGATTTCACTTAAATATACATAACTTCCTGTTCCTGTAAGTTAAGGGTAAGTGGTATTCAAAGGCAGTGTTAAGTATCAAATTTTCCCTTAAACTAAAGCTGCCTTAACTTATAAGTGTTTAGTCTTTTAGTGGTATCCAAAGGTCAGTTTAAGTGAGAAAAATCCGTAAGTGACCTAAAGGGGGTACCTTAAAGGTAAGTGAGAATATAATGACTTCTTTATAATCAGAGTACACAATGTAGTAGCAGACCCGTAATGGTGATTTTAAAAGTTAGGGAATTGAGATTGAAACAAAGACAATGTCGCTGAGCGTAGCTGGCATCAAACGTTTTTTTTTTCATCATCAGCTTTGAGTTTGTAGAGCCATAATAGTGTATAAAGTTACTACCACTGAAATGGTCAAGGTTTTTTTTTCCTGATCATCAATCATGTTCGTATTGCTTAATCAATCATGTTTGCAACGACTATCATATAATAAAGTTTGATGCGTTAAATTTATTTGTAAATTTGACATTGCGATGACATTCCATTGTAGATTTCAGAAAATATTAATATGGCCGCGAGAAGCAAGGCATGGTTTATTTTTAACAATTCATTCCCATATACATATTTGATGTTTTGATTGCTCCATGTTCTTGTATTCGTTTTGTAAAAAAATACAAATATATGATGATGACTGCTGAGCGAAGCGTGCCACCAATGAATTACAATGTACCGTCATGGCCAGGCCTTTGAGATTTTAAAGTTTTGAACTGACACAATTTCTATGAATTTCTCAAATGATAGATTGATAAACACCAAATGATTCGTTCAGTTTAACTTTAAAGCCAATAGCCTTGCGTATTGCTAATATGTTATTTTCTATTCGTTATAATAAAGTTTACAATATCCATCATTATTCTACTCCTATTCGATAACTGCTATTGACATCAATTGTTTTTGAAAAACATCTATACGAAAACAGCTGTTCCGGTAACGGATGCCTACCATTATAATTTGTTATAAATTATAGTCATACTATTTTCGTGCGTTACAATATAATATTTTGACAAATATTTTCCTAGTAATGACAAGTAAGATTTTAATAGTGATGCTCTTAAGGGGACATAACTTGCGTGCAACAAGAGTAATTCGTGATTTTTGGCAGTGGAGGTTATTCCATAAGTTAAAAATTCATGCTTTTTGGCTAATGTTGGTGTTCCATAATTTAAGTGTGCAGTTAATTTTTCACATAGCCAAGTATATGTAAAATAGAGCCTTTGAATACTGATTTAAGGGAAGACACTTGGTTAAGTGGAAAAATGATGTATTTTTACTTAACTTTAAGAAAATCTTTGAATATGGGCCCAGATCTATATTTTGTTTCATTTTTTTTTTTATACTTTCGATGGCCTACACAACATGAAGATCTGACAAGTTGTACTTGAAGGTCATGTCAGGGGTCGTACGAGCCGCTTTTGACCCTATGACATCAGACATTGATTAATCAATCAGCGTTGACGTTTCTAGTGGTTTACCCACAGTTCCGTGCATGGCACGCCAAGAAGTCGATGTAACAGACCGATTCATGGGCTTATCTCTCACTTGATCCAAAGCGCAGGTAATATAACAACTCTTCAAGATCCTAGTGTAGTAAAGACAAGTAAAACGAAATTTTGAACTATAAAAAATGAAATGAAATAGGATCTGTGTTTTAATCAGATTGGCAACAATTATCAAGTTTGTGTAAATTCAAAGTTAATCGGATATTAACTTTAGCCTCTAGAGCGTCCACATCATTTTTCAAAGTGATCAAGGGCCATAAGTTTGGCAGCAATTATTGGAAATTGTTAAAAATCAGTAGGGTTATTCATATCATGACTTTAAACAGTGTGTATAAATTCAAAGTCAATCGGATATTAACTTTAACCTCTAGAGACTTCTTCGTCGGACAACCTTAGACAATGTGTATAAATTTAAAGTCAATCCAATATTAACTTTAGCCTCTAGAGCGTCCACAAGCAACTGTGGACACCAGACATTTCAATGTGGGCATATAAAACAATATGTGTAGGTTAATTAACTATACAGATCCTAAAATTTTAATCCTAACGAGAAATTTTTTTCTTCTTATACAACATTGGACTTTTTTCAATTTGTTATTATGGAAATACAAAGGTATTCTAATTTAACAACCTAGAAACATTTTCATAAAATGCCCTAAACTGGAATAACTGCCAAACCAAATGAAGCCACTTGAATATTTGGTATGCCTAAACAAACTATTCAACTTGACATCTAGAGCAGCACAAGAACATGCATAAGGGTGGACTTACGACAATATACTTGAACAACCACATGATTTAATGGTCATCTATAACTAAGAACCCTCAAGAACGAAAACGAAATTTAAACCAGGAGAAATGTATGGTGGCTGTTGAAATTTGAGTTTTTATTGTATTTTCGATCTTCATAAACACAACTTCATCTGCATGTAATTTCAAACAGGAAAAAGAATATCCCGAAGTTTCATGTAGTATTTATATCCATGACAAAAGTTGCTGTATCTGAATTCAAAAATACTTTGAAGCATATTCTGAGATAGATATTTGCAATAAATTTCAGTGAGGTATTTAGTAAAAATATAATCAATTCAAAGTATACACAATGCTGTAAGGGTAAAATCTATTCCAGCACCAGCAAAATGAAATGGGGTTTATTTAACATACAACTTTTGTGCACCAGCCACTGCAAAGCTATTCAAAATAATTGTATCCTAATTCATATTTGTGTTTCTAAAGCAAAAAACGAAAACCAACACAAATGTTTGACATTATCTAAATAGGTCGTCAACAGTTATAATATAAATAGCACTAATCATCATAATAATTAACATAAAAGTCTGCAAATTACACATAGGAAACGTCGGTATAATCAAAATTGTCAGAACAGTCTTCATGGATATTGGAAAAACTTCCTGAACTCAAATCCTCAGAAGAACTGAAACTAAAATCGATATTTTGAGGTCCTGAACGTCCAAAAGAGTTTGCAGAAGATGATGTGCTAGACAGGCTTAGTCTATTATTATTTCTTTTGAAAGGTGGTGGGGGGTTATATGGTGGAGGGCAGAGACGTGGAGATTTGTCCACATTTCCCTTATTGTCAAACATTTCCCTCATGTCCCTAACACTCCACGGTAAATCGTTTTTCACTTTGTTTTCTACCCTTCGAGGCGCATTATGCTCGGAAAATGACTGACTCTTTAGCTTTTTATTTACAATAACCGGTGTCTGTGTTGCTTCAGGTTGCGTATAATCTTGTACTGTTGATTGTTGCTTTGATGACATGGCGATACTATATGGTGGGGGTTTAACACTATCAGTTCTTTGTATGGGTTCAATATTTTGGGTTGATTTTTCATACAAATGAATAGATTCTTGATACACCCTTTTAGGATCCCTTGATAATGTAACATAGATGTCATTGTCTTCTTTCAATGAATAATTTGATTTGTCTGAGGTTTTGTTTATTTCACTAACTACATTATGACCTGCTGCCTCTTCCTTGTAAGTCTGTAGTGATTGTTGATACATTAGCATAGCGCGAGCACTATCAGTTTTTTGTTTCACTAAATCTTGTTCTGATATTTCATGTGGGATTTTAACAACTCTTCTAGAAATAGCCTCTTGATAAGAAGGAGGTTGACTTGGTCTAGTTCTTTCCAACGTGTTTACAGACTGTAATTTACTAAGATCACCAGTACTTCTACTTGGCAACTCTTCAACAAAGTTTGAAATAAATTGACTTGGTGGTCTTGATCTAGTAATTATTGTTACTCGTCTCCTTGGGTCGTTTTTACTGAAGTCATGTAACTTGTATTCTGTGCTACAGCTATGTACTCCAATGGAATCAAAAGAATTGCTTCGTTGAATGTTAACACAAACAGCTGTGTTGTCGCCACTGATCATTGTTCGATTTGGTACAATAGTAGGTTTAGGCAAACCAGAATTTTTATCGAGTTTTGCTAACTGATCTACCTGTTCCACTGCACGTTTCTTAAAACCAAAGTCGTCGTCATCTTCGTCGTCATCATTTTCCTCAATGAGTTTTTGTCCTGAGTTAGGATAGCACTTAGTTACTGATATGCATGGAGGAGATAAAGGAGTATTATTGTTTGATGGGTGTTTAATAGATATGGGCAGGGTGATGTCAGTAGAGCATGTAACTGTTGTCTGTGTTTCCTTAATTATTTCAACTTGGTGTCGTGGTTTTACTTTAACACAGGAGTCGACCGGGACTGATGATGGAAAGGACTCTCCTCTGCTGAGAGTTGAATCACTGTACGATGTTTCTGACAAATCATCACCCACATACTGATTGGACTGTAGTGAAGCAGAATCATAGGAACGAGAGGATTCGGAAGTAAAGCTATCCCTAGAACTAGTGAAGTACGAGTGGGGGGAAAGAGGAGGGGTGTCCATGATGGAAGACTGCCTGGCGCTGTTTTCACGTAAAGATAAGGCTGGATCACTGTCTCTAAAATTGTTTGATACATCTAATGGCACATCACTAACACTATCTTCTCGTGTCTCTTCAACACTCTTCAGCGAATCACCAGAATGACGTTTGCCTAAGTCAGGATGGGATCTAATGGCATGCCTGTACATTGGAATCTGGGGCTTGGGGTAATGATAAAAGGCATCAAAGGTTTCAGTATATGGAAAGTCTTTCTTTTTTCTAGGAGGAGCAACTGGTTCGTGGGTTTCAACACTTGAAGTGGATTCTAAGCTACGGCTATATAAACCAGAATCGGTACTAGATGTGTTTCTGTCATTGTATGATGCACTTCTTTGATACATTCTTTTTAGTTCACCGGTGCCCTCCTCATCATCTATTTGTCCATCACCAGAATCCACCATATCTACCAAACTATCAATAGACGATCCATCAAGCAATCGTCGACCTAAAATACATATTAATAGATCGTATTTGCAACATTAATCATTTGAGATTCTGAATTAACGTGTGACATGAATTATAACTGAAATATGCACTGGTCAGTTCCACGGAACTGTCGCAGAACGTACAATTTTCTCTGTCGGCTTTCCCTGTCAGCATAGAATGAAATTACATTGTTATCCTTTAAGGATCGTTTAACACCTTTTTTGTGATCTAAACCACTTCAAAAAAAAAAAAAGTTTATTTCTGGAAATGACATTTGACAAATTATGTCACTTTATAACCATTTTTTGGAACTAGTTTAGATAACCATATGAAGATGGAAAAGTCTTCTAAGGAAATCGAGATATTTGAGTTCTAAGAAAATTTCTACTCCAAGCTAGGATTTACCAGTATTAAGTGTATATATATAGTGCTTAGTTCAGCAATTCTTCTACCTAGCAACCCTTTGCTTCTAAAATCCAGGTTTAAAACATCCTCCAGTTAGCTATATTTAATAACCAGTGCCACACACAAAGGCAGGGCAGACCTACTTTTTGTAGAACACCTAATAACACTGCTCATTTCAAAAGTATGTATCTTTTTAGTTATTACTTATAGATATGTTCTAATTTTTGATATGGCAACCTGAAATATAAGTGAGTTCTCACCTGTGTCTAACATACTGCTATCTGAATCAGATTCAGCAATTTGTTTTATACCCCCAAACAGCTGTAAACTACAATCATCGAACACATCTAACACACCTTCTATAAGACACTGAACAACGCTAACTGGTACACTTGATCCAATATTATTTCCGTTAGAGCTACCATTATTATTGTTTGTGCTGTTGGGAAATTTCAACAAACTGGGGGCAATACACACAGCGATATTATATGCTGTCATTTTATTCTCGTCACTGTGGGTTGATATAATGTACATAACAATCATAACATACTTCAGTAATGTTGCATGGCAAACAGGCAGGTGGGTTTTTATCAACCTAAAAAAGATTTTAAAAACATTGTCAGTATAAAGGTATCTTACCAAGGTATAGTCATGGTAATAGACAGTAGTGATGATTATCAGGAAGGAAGACATAGCTACTAGAAATAAGTCCAAACAGCAGCTATGTCTAAAAAAAAATATGGCCACAGACAGCAGCTTATCCATAGGTGAACACGGTTGGGGGGGGAGGGCAAACAATCTTTTCTTTTCGGGCGGTCATCCAATTCTTTGGGGAGTGGCCAAATGATGTAAAACAAAATTTTTTTGTGGATATGAAAGGAAAAATATGAAAATTATTCCATCCCGCAAAATGAAGTGCCCAAAATACAGGACTTTTACTGACCATTTGGTGGTGTGGTGCAATTTCCACCGGGAGTTCAGAGTTTCAGAAAATCACACAATTCTAATTTTGATTCAGGATGTCTAGTTCTCAAATTCAAACTGCAGTTCTAGAAAATTAACTTTGCTAGGCGCTACTTGCCGTTATTTTCCAAGATTTTACTACGGTTATTTTGTGATTTTAATCTCGTGGCTGTGACTGAGGCTTTTACTATCAGCTGCTTTGTAGTTTTGACCGGTGTAAAATTTGATTATTAACTGCATGCAATTCGCAAAAACGATACAGTCCCCCCTACCCCTTAAGGACACTCGGCCCGGACACCTATGAGCTCATCCAAAAGGATATTTGGATTTACACCAATTCATTAGGACCTTTTATGCCTTCAAAAAATCTAATCTCTAGTTCAAAAGCTATTCTGGAATATCTCTGGAACAGAAAATCCTAGAACGTTAACAAGGTTTTCAGAAAAGGCTAGGATGAGGCTAAGCAACTCTGGAAAAAGAAGGTTGTGAAACACTGAATAAAGATAGTGTTTGTCCTCTCTTGACCTAAATACTTCACAATGAATATGAAAAAAAGATCTGCTAAAACTTTAGCCTCTATTAACAAGTTAATTGTTGACAGACAGACAGCTAGCTGACGGACATGGATGACGATATTGTGCACCCACACTGAAATGTGGGTGTATAAAAAGGTTATATCTGTAAGTTATAGAGGATACTTAATGTATAAAGATAAGAGAATAGAGATCATAGCGATAAAGATTCTTAATGCTGTATAGTCATAAAGATTATTAATGCTGTATAAAGATAAGAGAATAGAGATTATAGTCATAAAGATTATTAATGCTGTATAAAGATAAAAGTAATCTCAATAGAGGTTGTATCTGTAAATTATAGAGATTATTAATGCAGTATAGAAATAAAAGTAAATAGAGAATATTAATACTGTATAGAATTAACATCTGTATATTATAGAGATTATAATACACAGGTAATAGTATAGATGGAGATTGTATCTGTAAATAATACATATTATTAATATCAAGATACAAATACTATTCTGGTAAATATTTTAATGTTGTTCTGGACATATTTTATTTTTCATTGTTGCAAAGCATGTTGCCATTCACTGTGACATTTTATTTAAGTTTTAAGTGAAGTGTGTATCAAAAGATATAGAGATAACAAGTTTGACCTCATCTAGAACGTATAGATTTATAAAGTTTCATTTATAAACGGTGGATTCCGGTTATGAACGTCTATTTCGGCAACAAATGAGCAGTCCACAAGAAAAGAAGAGAATGCGAGTGGAGATTAGACCATGTATGGTGCCAGTACCCACAGGGTAAAAAGTGACAGATACAAATGAATGAGTGGAATATGTATAGAGATAATAGTGATATTAGGAGGCAGACCACCATTAAATCCCACCATTTCGGTACCCCAGACCACCATTAAATTCCACCATCTCAGTACTCTGCCTCTCTTCTCCACTTTTGCATGTCCATTTTTGTTGATTTTTTGGTCTAAAATGGACGAAGAGGGTTTTGAATTAACATTTTCTGCTAGGTTTTGGTAAATATGCATCACTTTGAGGCGGAAGGATAACAGAGTTATCAGGTTGGTTACGGCGATATGTACGGCAATTAGTTACATGTTTTTAGTATGCTTCTTCAAGTTTGTGTATCTCAAAATTTTGGTGGTCAACCTCATACAAATGGGCACAAAACCAGACCCAACTTTTCTAGAGTAAAATTTTGCGTAGAATACGATGCCATGTGGTAATCAGTCCGCTGTTGGGGCGTTTTCGAGATATTTGGGGTCAAAGGTCAAATGAGTTCATTTGCACTGAAAGTGAATGCGCAGTCATTCTTATATTTGAAAATATTACCCCCAATATTGCTGTCAAAATTTTAATTGTTCATCTGTTGTAAAATAAACCAAAAGGTCTTGCATGTCTTTATTTCCATTGTTAAATAACTTGGAAAGGATCCATGTGTTTGTCAGATATTGAATAAGGTTCCATGTGTTTGTCAAAAATTTAAAAATTAAGAAATTTAGTCTAATTATGTACTGCTAGAATTTTCAAAACATGGGTGAATGTCACTTTGCTGCTGCTGTGTTCCTCTGATTTAACTCAATTTTAATCTTTTAAACCTGAATTTGTTGCATTTCCCTTCTTGAGAAAGTAAAATCTATGTGTTTGCAGGGAAATTTTTCTGTCTTCATTTCATTAAGACTGGCTCACCCTCCCCACCACACCCCATTTTTTGAACATGATATTTGGATATTCAATTGAACATATACTCTTCAAAAAAAGTAGGGGATATTCAGAAACAATACAAAACTGCGGAAATGCACTGCTGTTTTTATTAGAGGTAACCAGTGTATGTTAATAACAGGCCGGTTGCCTACACATGAACATAAACAGTTCATATGTGCGGCTTATCTGACGGCCCCATTTCACTTGCAAAGAGATACACTGTCAAACGGGAAAATGGAAGTTTTTGTTTATTGTCTTAATAATGAATTGCTCCACCAATCCTCAGACATTCAGCAATTCGTCGTGGCATGCTCCTAATCAACCGTCCAATCACGATTTGGGGCAATCTGACCCATTCCTCTTGCACGCCCAATTCTTGCAGTGTTGTCAGTTGACGTCGACGAACACGTCTCCCGATCAAATTGAATGTAACACACTAAAGCAAATAGTAAATCTTATGCAAGAACCGATAGGAAAGCAAACATGGATAGGATAAACCAGCAAGCGTCAGTTTTCATCAACCCTTCCTTGTAAGTGTCAAATTTGACAATGAACCCCTCCCACATATATGGCGCTATTAGCAGTAATTGGATTTTGTGCTGGGATTGTAACCAGGCATTTTATTTTGCACAAACAAATAGTTACATATAAGATTTCAAGGATTTCTAAGACTTTTTGTTTATGGCCAAACATATAATATACTCAGCCAAATTAAAAACTTGACACTGATGAATTTCAACAAATTTTTTTATCTGGTAAGTCAAATAAATTTTAAAGTGTTTCTAACGATAGTAAGTAGTAAGAAGCCTTTAATTTCATAAAATTGTAAAGTCACGTGGATCACGTGACTTTTGAGCATATAAAGATGAAAAACCTAAAAAACACGTGCAAACACAGACTCGTGAGGTCAATTGATGCAAGTTTGCTTAAACTGAACACGCACACGTAACTTGAACTGGAAAAACAAATTAAAATTGTTATTTTCATCTTTGTTAGAAAATGCTGCGCCTTTCAAATGTAGAACGTCTACGTGCTATAGGTAGGCTCTATGCTGGTCAGTCTGTGGTCACTGTTGCAAGAGCCTTTAATTGTTCACGCCAGACAATAATTAATCTTAGAATGAGAGTGCTTCAAACTGGAACTATTGCCGACCGCCCAAGGGCGGGAGCGCCACGTGTGACGTCACTCCAGAAAGATCAAGCAATACTATTACGTCATCTTAGAAACAGATTTGTCACTGCAACCTCCACAAGTAGAGAGATGTTTGGTGGAAGGGTAACTGCACAAACTGTTCAAAATCGCTTGCAGGCTGGTGGTCTTCGAGCTCGGAGGCCCTATAATGGACCAATATTGACACCTCTTCATCGCCGTAACCGACTTGTGTGGGCCACAAGACACATAAGATTTACTCAAAGACAGTGGAATTTGGTTGTCTTTAGTGACGAATCTCGATTCACTTTGAGATTTGCCGATGGCAGGGCCCGAGTGTACCGCAGACTAGGTGAACGTTACGCTCAAGTATGCGTCAGAGAAGTTGACCGATTTGGTGGCGGCAGCGTCATGGTTTGGGGTTCTTTTTGTGCACATAAACGTTCTCCTCTTGTTGTTGTCCAAGGGAACTTAAATGCTGTCCAGTACAGGGATCAGATTTTGCAACCTGTTCTTCTTCCGTTTATGCAGAGACATGGGCCTGGACTAACGTTTCAACAAGACAATGCTCGACCCCATACAGCAATTGCTACCCAGAATTTTTTAAGAAATGCCGGTGTCCAAGTCCTGGATTGGCCGTCGCTTAGCCCCGGCCTTAATCCTATTAAACACATCTGGGACGAACTGGGTCGATGTGTTTGTCAGCAAGTGAATCCACCACTGACGTTGCAGGACCTTCAACATGCTCTTGCTGAGCAGTGACGACGTCTTCCTCGGGTAGTGTTTACTAATGTTCTGAGATCCATGAGAAGACGTTGTGTGGCAGTACGAGACGCTAGAGGAGGCCACAACCGTTACTAAACACTTTATTCCGATTGTTCTCTAAGTCTGTGAATTTCATTTTGGGGGGTACTGTGACATCACGAATGTTATCAATGTCAAGGACTTTCGGCGAGACGTATTCTTGCTTTCTGTTGATGTCAAGGTCGTCTGTGCACAACATAACACTAAAATAGTTGCCTTAAACCAAATATTAAAAATCTAGTCCCAAAATCCCGAGTTTCAAGTTTTTAATTTGGCTGAGTATACTTTGACATTTCTTCCAGATGAGTCCACACCTCAAAATGGATATGTTGTAGATGTGTCTTTTGCAGCTTAATGTTTTACATTTTTGATGTAAATCTATTTTTTTGTGGTGATCATTTAAAATGTGGCACTTGCAGAGCAATAAAATATTAATTAATAGGCTTCTCATACTCCTTTTATGCTATGAATTTTGTCACAACATGCTTTTTCCACCTCATTTTGTCCGGAAATTGATGTAAAGATTAAAAAACTTTCTTCCACAAAATATTTACACTATATAATTTCAAGGATACCTCTGATTGTTAAAGTGTTTTAAATACTGAAATATTCCCATTTTTAACCATATTCCATCAACAGTATTACTTATAAGTTGGATTTGTTACCACAGCAACATTTTTAAGGGGTGGGCTTACAAGTTTCATTATAGTTCCTGTCTGTAGTGAAAAGCATTCAGTCCAACGAAAATTTGGGGAAAAGTTGGAAGTGGGCAAAGAGGCCAGAATTAACATTGAAGTCAATGGGAAAATTAATGGTGGTCTGCCTCCATTAACAGAACTAAGAGTGATCCAGGCAGCACAATAGAGATAACAGGTATTAGATATAGGGATTGGAAAGTCTAGTTAGAAATAAGATATGCATGAGACTCAAGTGATAAACAATTTGTGACATACCCTACATGTAGTATTATAGATCTCAATAACAATTCACAAGGAACTTCAATAACATACAGCAGAGGTAAACAGGGATACAGATAGTATCAACGATGATCTCATAAATTATCTGTTTGTATATATTTATACTAGTCAGCCTAAGGGTATATGATATGAATTGCCTTAGTAGTATCATATAGCTCTTAATATTCAGTTTGATTAATAAGTGTCTAATGACAGCTTGCCAACAATTTGGTGTATATTTCAAGACTAATAAAACTATTTCAGCAACACATGTTGTTTCGTGACATCAATGAGTATAACAGAAATCCCTGATATTGGTAACCGACAACTTCACCCCAACTTCAGATTCATCTTTCAATATATTTTCTATTGTGCTAAAATGACGCAATGAGATTTTAAATGTAGAAACTATTCTAGAAATTATAAATATCTATGGGCATTACATTAATAGTAGGGCTGAACCATGAAAGCGACTAGAAAGAGAAAAAAGAAAAATAGTGTTAGCAGAAATATGAAATAGATGATGATGATAATTTGATGTCTTGTTTGCTTACTCTTTGATTCTGGCAATTTGTTCTTCTTGGCTGTCTAATCTTTCTATCTGCATCCAATCTTCATATAGTTCATCAAGTAATAAACTCTGTGGCAATGATCTAAGGTAATCCTATTTGAAAACATTGTATTAGTCAATATATGTATATACATATGATAATATATAATGCATAGAATACAAAGCTTACCATGTGGATAATACTTTGAAATGTTTCCTCATTACACACAATTATAGAACTGTTTTCCTCTCATTATGAATCTTCTTGGTGAATTAAACTATATATTCTGATTTAAATATAATCAGTCACAACAGAATTTAACATAATTTATTTAGAGATTAGATGAATTGGGGACAGTTTTAGTCCTTTAATCTTGAAGCCCATAACACATGCTTTAAGAAGGTATAGAAAGGGTCTAAATCTAATATTACATTGTTTGCAAGAAATGTTTGAAATCCCTTTTCCATTCCACTATCATGCGCGGCTATCAATTCCAATTCTGACTTTTCAATGTGTTTACTATTAAGTAGTGTTCACATGTATCAATGTCACTTTTATTTTAAAGTGTCATGCATGCTGAGAACACCATTAACACCACTTACACAAAACCGGAAAGAGTTTCAAGAACATATGATCCAAAAGATATGAATGAACTAATCATTCTATAAACATATATTCCATCCTTATAAATAAAGGTCCATTTTACATGACCCACACAAATTAAAGTACTAGTACCAGAGTAGATGTCTAAGACTCATAACTAAACAAATTAGATCATGCGCATCCCATGTAACCTCTTCTGTGTCGCATATACACTCGACATGTTAGATGCACACCTTACCTTTTAATGCTGTGCTTGCAATAAAAACCAAGCTCAATATACTACATGAAATGCTAACAGATCATCATAGTTGTAAGAGAGAAAGAAGAATGAGAAGAACAATTTGCATACAGATGGAATCAGTCACTAGAACAATGCTTAACTTACCTTGTTACTTACTGAGAGATTTATTTATTACGCATATATCTTTCAGTACAAACATTATTATACATCAAATATTATACAATAACTTACTATAAATCAAACAAGATCACACCATATTCTACTAAACAGATTTCAAAGATAAAGGAAAAGGCAGATAAGAGAAAGATGGAAAGAAAAAATAATTAAAGATTTTACAAACCTGATTAAAGAAGATGACTAACTTATTATATATTTCAAAATAACAACAAAAACAATATATATCATATGGTTATTAATCTTTTCTTACCAAGATAAAACATGATATCAATGACGACCAGCACCATCCTATGTTAACCACTGTTTCCATGAACTATTTTATACTTTACATGCAAATAGTTATATACTAAACCAAAGCAAACCTATAAACCAAACCTACAAACCACATCAACTACTGTTTAATCTGTATAGCAGTTACATCTAAAAGTAGCATTACTGCGTTTATTGATAAGTTGCACACACTGTGCAGTTAGTATCCAAGAGAATCTCTTCAAAAATTTCCAGTACACTATCTGGAAATTGAATCTGAAGCAGAACTGATGACCTTTGAACTTAACAGTTTTTCAAACTGGGTCTGATCTATGCAGAATTTGAAAAGATGTTTGTTATACAAAAAGAAATCTTACTGTCTGATAAATATGGCAAAACATAAGGTATCATGGGTGGCATCAGTACTCTGGCCAATAAAATAAAACAGTACCTGAATACATCTTGCTTAGTAAGTATTTTCAATTTCAAATTTCAAGAAGTAACAACTCATTTTACTAGATTCTAGATAACTGTGGACAGAAAATATGAAAGTGAGTATGACAAAATCAAATAATAACGCAAGCAAATCCCACAGTTCAATGTTCAGTTAAAAATCAAGAAATCTCCAAAGGTATTAGAATATATAATAAACCTCAAGGCCATTTCTCCCTAACTAATCACTATATTTCGAATACTACAACTATGCCAGCCCTTTACAAGATTATATATCCCTGCGTATCATTGTAATGAAGTATGGCAATCTTCAAATGATTCCAGCATCTCCAGTGAAATTTCCCCAAGCAGATTATATACTATAATAACCACACCGACCCCAAACTATATTATAATAATATATGTACATGTATATAAAACAGTCTGTTACAAATGTTAACCTGCCCCATGTTCAGTAGAGTAATTTGTATTTGTAAATAGAGAATGAACCTGGTGTGGCTTATAATGATTAGCATGATTTACTAAATTTTGTTTCACAATGACAAATGGCAGATACCTTAGGTTCTACTAAACATAGGGCAGATGTGAGTATTTGATTCCAAGGTTAATTGTAAAATGTGTATGCAGATGGCATTAGGTAATATAGCATATTTTGTGTACTCGATAAAATAAAAGAGCAGTTTTAAGGACTCTTGAAAATAACCAAGATTATAATGGAATAAGAACTTTAGTTATAGAAAACTTCACATCCATTGGTAGATATTTATATTGTATTACAGGACAGTTAGTACCAATATAAACAGTCATCTTTTCTATTCCTTTAGTAAATGTAGAATATTGCCAAATGTCTAATTGTGATAAAACACAAAACCTTTTGCTAAATGTCAAGACTTTTTTTGCAGATAGTTATAGCAGGTATAAAATTTAGATTAGCATCACAAATGTAATTCCAATAAGATGAGTTCATCTTCTTAGGAATCTTCTCGCAACCTGACGGCTAGAACATTATCAATTGAATTATTGAAATGGTGAAATTTGAGCTGTCTATAATGGGTTCACATGGTATTTCACACTAAGAGAATAGTTTCACTGAAACTTAGTTCCAAAACACCATCAAAAATGAATATCATTAGATTATCTAATTCAACCTGATTAACACAAGAGTCCTTTATACCATATATTTGTTATCCATCCCAAATATATAAATAAGGTTTATTTTCTACTATGAGACTAAATCACCTATATAAAAGCCTTACCTTGAGAACAGATCCTATAGCTAACACTTGATGACTTTCTAATATTATTTCCTCATTCTCATCCACCTGCTTTTTGATCTCTCGACATAATCGAGCATTAGCAGATTTTCTTAATATTCCGGCAGTATGTGGACCTTCTCGAAATAATATCCCAAGCATTGACTGAAAATGTAAATTGATTATGTTTAATTCAGAGCACATATCATACAATATAAAAAGATTGGGTTGCCAGGCCATAAAATATAAGCTCACAAGTCATTGTGCAGGTTGTCACATTGTGAATCAAAAATTTCAAATGTCAAAATTGAACAAACCTACTACCCTTTAAATGTTTTGAGAGGAACTTTGCCAAGTAATGTGCTCACAAGCTCTTATAAGTTTGAATGTAAATGGGAAAAATACTTGGCATGATTCTCCCTTGTCAGTAATGCAGGACAGTGTCTAGTCATTCGGATGGCATGCATTTAACAGAACCCTTGACAGCTGGAATTCAATTGCATATGCCCATCTTCATTAGCTTGGTAGGTGCAAAAAGGTAGGACTGTAAACCATATTTCATTCATTCATTCATTCATTCAATGTTCATGTATCATTTGTTTTGTCTATGTTTTGTTATGCAATTCTCATGCATTATCTAATAGTTCATCAGATAAAGTAGGCTGGTACATTGTTTTTAGCAGACTGAACTACACCTATATGTTTGGTATTGTGTTTATATTTTAATCAATGGTCAGGTGTCTCCTAAATCATGTGAACTTGATCCGATCCCATCGTGGCTACTCAAACGTTGTATTAATGAACTTCTGCCTATTATACATCATCTCATAAATAGTTCTCTACAACAAGGATATGTGCCAGCACCTTTAAAAGTAGCATTTGTTCGCCCTCTTCTGAAGAAATCCAACCTTGATGTAAATTTATTAAAGAACTACAGACCAGTCTCAAATCTCTCTTTTCTATCTAAACTTTTTGAAAAAGTCGCTGCATATCAACTAAAATCACATTTTAATTCAAACAATCTCAGTGAAAAGTTTCAAAGTGCATATAGATTAGGACACAGTACAGAAACAGCACTTGTTCGCGTTTATAATGACACCATCAAAAATATTGAAAATAAGGCATCAACAGCATTGGTGTTATTAGATTTAAGTGCTGCCTTTGACACAATAGATCAGTCGATTCTTATCCAGCACTTTTCCACTCGGTTTGGTGTCCAGGGAAAAGTTTTGGATTGGTTCAGCTCTTATCTGACAAACAGAACCCAGTCAGTAGTCATTGACGGCAACCAATCGTCACCATCGTCTCTTGCCTTTGGCGTACCCCAAGGATCCGTATTGAGACCCATGCTTTTCACAGCATATACAACTCCAATTGGTGATATTATACGAAGACACGCCATTGACTATCACTCAACTCTATATATCACTTAAAGCAGAAAATGAACATAACCAGATAGATAAAATTCAACACTGTATTACTGACATCAAACAATGGATGAAGCTCAATTTTCTAAAACTGAATGATGATAAAACTGTAGTACTTCCGATTGGCTCAAAAACTCAACTCAATCAATTATTAACTGAAACTTTATCCATTGGTGACACTGAAATACCGCTTTCAAAAACAGCGAACAACCTTGGGGTTATGTGTGATTAGGAGCTAAACATGAAAAGGTTTATAAGTAAAACATGCCGTGCTGTAAACTTTCATATTTATAACATTGGGAAAATTAGACTGTACATTAATATAAAAACAGCCAAAATGTTATGTGCTCTTTTGTTTTGTCAAAACTTGACTATTGTAATTCCCTCCCTTACCAGATTCCTGTCTCGGTACTAAATCCACTCCAACTTATCCAAAATAAAGCAGTGAGAATCATAACCAGAACGAAACAAAGTCAACACATAACCCCGGTCCTCAGGGATTTACACTGGCTTCCAGTTAAACAAAGAGTTGTTTTTAAAATATCTGTTTTAACTTACACCTGTCTCCACTGTGATTTTGCTCCAGCTTACTTAAAAGAACTTATAACCAATTTAAGATCGTGTGATAAGAATCTACTAAGGGTACCTTCAACAAAGTCAAATCGTGCTGATCGTGCATTCTCCTCCGCTGTCCCATTGTTTGGAACTCTTTACCACAAAGTGTAAAAAACAGTGAAAATATATAATCTTTTAAAAGGAACTTAAAAACAGAACTATTCCGACAGTCATTCTGTTAATGACTTTAATGACGTTGTAATTTGCGCCAATGATCAGCCTTTTGGTTGGAATTCCAGCGCTATATAAGATGATTATTATTATTTAATTAAAGAGATAACAGAGGTTGAAGATGTTACGAGTTTGTGTTTCTAGCAGAGGTGGACCACAGGCGCCTGTAACATGGAAACATTTAAAAAATAACATTAGGCCTAAGCTATGACTAAGTGTAATGTCTAAAGTCTGTTAGGACCATGTGGTCTGAATCCAATTTCTAATTCAATGGCAAATAACTCACCTAAAACCGATTCTCTTTCAGTCGATATAATAATACCAAGGTGAAAGGTTGCAATTAAATAATTGGAGTCATAGTTCACTACTCTAGATTCCATCAACCAGTGGCAATATTCACTAAATTTCGCTAGGCAGACAATCGAGTCTACGATGACGTTTTAAAACTATTCACATGACCCTCTTTAAGTCACGTGCATGTTTATTTACATGTAAAAGGTGATAAACTGAAATTATTGACATTTTAAAAAATATCGCGATATAGTGATTACATCACAATATTTTCTGAAAATATTGCAATATCTGCTCCAGGGATATTGCCCAGCTCTACCTGCTTGTTGCCTGATTCATCTACATCCAATATAATATTTATACATTTTATTCAATGCATTTGATAATCAGAACTGACTAAATAGTTTAAATATCTACAAGCTATACCAAACTTAAAAGCAGTAATATATAATTCAACTTACGAGAATATGTTTGGGTGGTTCATTATCGGTAGTACACACACTTTCTAATGGTTTCCCAAACAAATTACCACTCTTTGTTCTTCGAGATTCATTGACGTTGGTCTCTTCTCTAGATCGTCGTGTGAATATGCTTCGCAAAGGGGACCTCTTCTTTCGCTTATTGGCTGCATCATCTGAAATGTACGTTGCCAAATAATTTTAAAGTGAATCTGAATGACACTGTCTACTCATTTTCGATTTGAAAGTTTGAGTGGAATATGGAAAAAGTTATCTATGGTTTAGCTTTCCTGTGAACAAAATTATCAGTACTTTGATTTCTGTGCATGTCCAGAAGAAGGTTGAGAAGAAATTTATAGTTTGAGGGACAACAATATAAAGCGCTTTTTCCAAACATAATTATTTCTGTCTCGATTTTATTAGTCAGAATATGAGTAGTAAGTTGTGCATTGGTATAACCTAGAAAAGCAGTACAAAGAAATATAAAACAATTAGCCAGAAATAAGGATTTTTCTTCTCTACTGCAGTGTTTGTAAACACATATAGAATATAATGTAAATTGTGACATTAGGATGTGTTTAATAGTCTGGTTTCTGAAATCTTATATTTATATTCAAGATGTTTTGCGTCAGACTTTTGGTATTTGTCATCTTGGGAGTTCAGAGTTTTTCATTATTTTCATATGATGCATCAGAAAGGGAATAAGCCAAAGTTTTGGACTTATCAGTAATTAAACATGCCCTACATGTAGTACATGATTGTTTAAGCCTTGACATAATAATATGTGCTGAAAATGCACAACAAAAACAATGATAACTGATCAATCATAACTAGTCAATCTCCATTAATAAATCAATAAATGAATAATTTGGTGATCATCATTAGAATATATTTTCTACAATTTGAACCATGTAAATGCCCATAATCTGCAAGGAATAAAGCAGTGATAAGAAATTATTCAGCTTACCATAATAAGTTTCATCTTCTGAATCATCAGATTCCTGTATCATAAAATAATCTTTTAATTTGAAAAATTCATATAACTTTGATATTCACTTTAACCTCTAGAAGTATGACCATGGTTGGTTCAATGAACTATGCAACAGATTTAATATTTTCAGCTTGATGGTCCGTCAGAGATTATGGACTTGTACAAAATTGCACAATGACAAAAATCTCATAGTAAAAAAGTATGGATGCAGATGTGACTGGCTGATTCTAGTAGCAAACGAACTGTCCCCAAGAGAATGCGAGTTCTATTATACCCTTTAGTGTGCTAGCACCACTGGCTAAAAATGTACATTAAGGATAAACTACACAAGTTTATATTATATTATGACATTTAATTTGGATGAAATTAATTTCAAATTCTGACTTTAGTTCAAATATAATATTCTAAAAGCACCAATATCACCTGACTACCACAGGTGGCAAGATAGCTCTGTGGGACCTTAGTGTAATAATTATTAACAGTAGCCCGACATCAACAATATGATACTTAATTGTCATATAAAGAACATACTTGAACTGGTCTTGTTAATGTTTGTAGTTGTTGTCTGGCTTTTTCTGCATTGCATCGCCTGAAAGTTAAAAAATAAAAGAAGTCGAATTGGGTTGATCTGGTATTTATTTCATTTGGAGGGTTGGCTAATGTGTGTATTTGGTAGATGATAAGTTCTCTTATTTATGCAAGTCATGGCTTTAATCCTGTATGTGTACATGACAGGGAGTAGGTGATTCACCTGCTTAACCTAGTCTTCTTTAATAAAGATATATCATAGTTAGCCCCAAAATGACCTGGGTCCGTATTCAAAAGATATCTTAAGTCTAAGATAGTCACTTAACTACTAGATTTCATTTAAATATACGTAACTTCCTGTAAGTTAAGGGTAAGTGGTATTCAAAGGCAGTGTTTAGTATTGAATTTTCCCTTAAAGTTAAGCTGCCCTTAAGCTGCCCTAAGCTGCCTTAACTTATGCTGCCTCAACTTATAAGTGTTTGATCTTTTAGTGG